TCTATTGTTGACCTGTTAGGGCGAAAGCCAGCTTGTTGTTGAAGTAGCTGTTGATCAAGTCTGGTTTGAATTCGATTCAGTATGATACGGGCGAAGATCTTGCTAGCCACAACCAGAAGAGATATACCTCGATAGTTATCGCACACCCGTTTATCCCCTTTGCCCTTGTACAAGCGTATCAATAGACCCATTGACCAGTCATGCACCATTTCCTCGTCATTCCAGACATCTGTTATAATTTGATTTGTTTGCTATGAGAAGCATGCGTGCGTAGCTTGTTGCGCTTGAATCGCAAGATTGAACCATTTCAGAAGCCAAAATTGTTACCAAAAATATCGCTAAATCCGGAATGTTCCGCGCATAAGGTTCCACTTTTATGGATCATTCTGAGAGTGATGTATCGAGTTCTAAAATCCTTTAGTCTTCATTAACTCATAGACAATGGAAATTGAAATATGTAACTGGAACACGAGAACGGTTAGAAAATTAGTTATAATTTTCTTGTGGTACATGACAGCTTAATGGATGTGATTATTCACGAAAAAATAAATGAAACATGTAGCTTTTCGACGCTGTTCCTACCATTTCGATATATTAAAGTATTAATGCCTAATGCTCTTTTTCTACCGAAGTCAGTCCACTAGATAAACACAACAAAACGACAGGATTATTGCAACAGTTACACATCTTATTCTCAGGATGACATATAAAAGTGGAATCTTATGCGTAAAACATTCCTAGTTATGGGTATTTTAGTAACAATTTTGGCTTTTGAAATGATTCAATCTAACAAGCTACGTATGCATGAGAAATGTTCGTATGTCAACCATCTAAGTGAATGACGTCGATTGCTCGACGCATCAGTTACAGTCCACAAGTGATCGTTTGTTTTTGTCTTGTGACGAATAACATCTACGCGATTCGTTGATCGATATATTCAAGATTCACTGAATGATACAGCCGGATGAACGGATGCGCCAGCAGTTTCAGTTAACTAAATGAATAAAAGAAGTTATCCCATGCACCAGCAAAGGCATCTGGGTATTTCTACTAAGGAAATTTGCTTGGGTTAACTCTATGGAAACATTGATATCTGTATCAAAAAACACTTCAGAAAGAGTACAGACAGTGTCAAGGTGTAGTAACTACATCCAGTGTTAGAAATGAGACAGTGGATTATATACGATTAGTTTGTGATTCTGCTTTTAACGACAATTTACATGAATGGATCTTATTAGCCAAATATTTATCATCTGTAAATTATAGTAATTCGCTAATTTGATTGAATCACATTCATCACTGATGTAGAGATGACACGAATTGTTAAACGTGGTACTGAATAATGTTGCGATAAATCGAAAATAAATTCGCAATCAGCTTGACCTAATAAATTTTTACTGCTGCCAATTCTCCATGCAAACATGTAACCATGGTTGTTGTATTAAATAAGGTGAAACAAGTGATAAATATGGAGGTTCACTAAAATGTTTAGCTTAATATTTAATCCAACAGTAACAATGTTACTACCATATAATTATTACTGTTTATGTAAATAAGACAATTTTTAGAACATCAAACATGTAAAAAATGTAATATATGCTTCTTCGAAATTAGCTACAAGAAATCATTATAAAATGTATCGTTAACATAAAAGTCTACGTGAACTAACATTGGGTATTGATTTAGAAAGATGAGATTGACGAAGATGATGCTGAAGAAATCACAATGCAAACAAACACAAGTGGTAAATTTACTGATGATGATTATGATGTCTCAGTAAATATAGAGTAATAAGCTTGTTTTGCTCATTATATTGTTGAACAGTAAATATCAAAGTGTTATCGGTATTTCAATGCCATGTCCTTCTTTTCTTTTGAACTTATAACTGTTTAAGAAAACAGGTGAATTTTTTCTATTTTGGTGTAGGTAAACCGTTGATTAGCGAAAGAAATAAGACATTTATTATTCTAAAAATATATTTTTATTATACATAGTTTATAAGTAAATAAAAAGGTATATAACTTGTATTTTCTCACACTCTTTTGCCTTTCTACAATTTTACACGAAAAAAATTTCACATTCCTTTATAAACATAAAAAATAAGTTCTTTTCATAAGGAAAAAAGAAAGAAAGATATATAACTTACTAATGTAATAAACAGTTTTTCATTGAAATTTTTTGCGTCCAGCATGTGTCATTATACAAAAATCTTAAATGTACATTATTATCAGAAGTAAACAGCAGAGTCACACACATGTCGTATGAAAACAGAACAACAATAAGTTGTTTGCATAGTTGTGTGTTCTTGTTCTTTAACAAATAAAGAAATCATGATGAAGTTACTTACCTCATATATACATGAAATTCAAATGCTTATTTGAATTATTAGGGACAACGTCTGAAATTCGTTTTTAACTTGCACATAAAGTTCTAATAATATATTTTTCTCATATGTGTGAGACGGTTTAGACAGGTAGATATATTTATTTTTGAAATCATGGCTACAGGAATGATATTAGACCGTGCAGATCAGTGAGTACAAAAACAAGAAAACTCTTTCAGTTCTGATGTTTTTTCTCTAGATTTAGATATTTAACAGAGAGAATTACCGATGGTGCTGGTGGTAAAGAATTTCAGGATCAAAAAATATCACGACATCAACAAGTATGCTAAAAAATGTTTGATATATCTTTTTTCTGTCACTAATAAATAGACTTCATATGTGACTTCGTTTAATTCGTTCATCAACGACGAAAGCTAATTGCCATCTGTTGTAGCATAATGATTATACTAATTATACTACCGATTGTCCAGTTTGTGGTGAAAAAGTGTCACAAAATGATATGCATAATCACCTAATGTCTTGTGGAAACAAAACTGAGGTAATATTTAGATATACTTGAATTTGTTTTTTGATTTCAATTGTTTACTTTTTGATTTTAGTTTTGCAATCGTTGCAACAGATACATTCTTCGAGCAATATTCGCCTATCATTATGAACATAATTGTCATAATCCAAACGAAGAGCAAGAGAATCAAGAACCACCTTCATCAACAAGATTTAGAACAATAATAGCTGATGAAGATGACAATCAAAAGTTTGAAACAACGTTTCACGATGATATGTATAATGATGATCAAAATAGATTTCAACGTTCACATTCATCAATGCATCATCGAGGAGATCATAATCCAATACGCGATACAGTTTTTCGAACAGATTCAAGTGGAAAAATTCTTGGTATAACATCGTTGAGTAATAAACGTGAACAAAGAAATAATGGTAGGGGAATAGTGTAACATTCAAAATAACCGAGTTCCTGTCTCTGTTATGATATTTTACGTTCGATCTATTCAGTAATACGTCGTTTTTAGGCGGAAGAAATGGTAATACAGATAATGATGAAAATATAGTCTCTTGTGAATATTGTAACCAGCTTTGTGCACTTACCGACTTTGATCATCATAAAGTATGTTGAACGAAAAAATACAATCAGTACGTGTAATATCAGCGTGTTTTTAGAAATATTGTTTGCGAAATCCGTCAGCAAAGGCTAACAATCGAACACGAACACATGAAGCGCAAAGTACGAGATACGGTATGGGAAATGATTAATAAATGATAATCTCTGTAAAATCAAATATTCTCTTAATATTTATCGAGTATAGTTTATTTTAACCTAATAGAATATTTGTTTCACAGTAAGTTTGTCACTTGGGCATGAAAAAGTTTTACGACTTCATTTTCTTAACTAACAGTTCATACATCTTCTATCTAGCAGATATCCATAGACTTCTTTGACTAAAGAGTTACAATGTATTCAATGATAGTATTTTTAGAATAAGCTAGATAAAATGTTATTTTTTTAGCAGCAAGAACAGTTGAAAACGATATTGAACTTCCATGTGAATATTGTAATAAATTAGTTAATATTGAAGATTTTCAAGAACATATGGTGAGCAAAACATGAATACGGAAGAATGTCGTATTTTTATCTGTTATTAAGTTACATTTATCATTTAGTGTTAGCTAATCGCCTCTTTTCTTATAGACACAGTGTACCAATTTGGATCGAAACCGTATTCAAAATCATCGACGGTAGAACTCATCTTTATCGATCAGTATTTTGTTGCTATATATCTTTTATTTCTTGCCTTAGGAAAATCGAAAGCGATTCTGTCATTGGGAAAATACCATGTGAACATTGTAATACACTCTGTGATTTTGATGAATTAAATATACATGAAGTACGTGAGATTTCAATCTTCAAAACTATAGTCTCTACTCTGTTGAGTGCCATCTTATAGATGGACTGTGTAAAAAGTCCGAGAAATATCGCATATGCGGCACAAAAAGAAAAACGTTCAACAATACGAGATTTGAATACAAGCAATATGCATAGTACGTAACTACTGATTATTGGTGGATAAAAGTTGACATTTAAAGCTGATGACTCGTGATAGAGAACTAAATTATTAATTAGCTACTTATTGTATCGATCAGCAATAAGTCATCTTACTAGCTTGAAAAAAATCTCAACGTGTTACGAGTTTATTCCTGTCAAAAATGTAAATCATTTGATATTAATTCGATATTGAGCTGAGTACACGATTCAATGGCTCAAGATATCTACTCATAGAATTCATTCTGTTTTTGTCTGTATGAAATATTTCTGAGGAATTTTGAAGAAGTCTCACCAACTGACTTCTTTGAAACTCTAATACTTCAGTACAATACTGGAAAAGAATTTTAATGATGCTATTTTGTAGAAAAATCGTTTCTGGTTAAAATGTGACGTCTTCCATCTTAGAGCCATGATTTATTCAAGAGTTATGACAACTGTACTAAGAGCCCAATTAATTAATAATACTACGTGTATGCGCGCACATACATTATGTATATTTATCATTTAGAACCTACAGCTACGGCAAATCGAAACAACAATAAGTCAGATACAATCTTAGATCCATCCAGTCTCTATACGAGACCACGAAAAAATACCAAAGGTCAAATCCAAAGTACTCCGGATCGAACTGATACTAATAAGAAACGGAGTCAATCTGCTGAAGAAAATCGTGCTCAATATACGAGCATCGATATTGATCGTACAAAAGAAGCAAATAGTAACATACCAATAACGACGACAACACGAAGAGTTGATAGCTACGGTTTCGGTTTAGATCGTTCAGGTCCTCGGTCAAGAGAGAATTTATTTAAAAAAAGCTTTGACGATGATAATAATTATTTGCAACCGTCAGCAAGGCCATACGACAATATGCCATCTTCTCTCATAAATCGACAAGGTATTTTATTAAATAATCATGCTAATACAAAACGATCAGCAAAAATTCCATCCCCAACAACTGATTTTCTTACACCTGTACGTTCAAAGGATGATCGCTCAAAATTTACTCTATCAAGAACGTCAAATGATCGTATTCCAATACGCGCTGATCCTGGTAAAACGTTTAGTGATCTAAAAGATAGTTCATCATTGCGGTCATATCATAAACGTAAGTCTGTGCTATTCGCATTATATTTATCATTGTCATCTATCCATATTAAGAGTTTGAAATTTGACTTGACTAAGTGAATCGTAGAACACTTAACATATATTGTCTGCTTTCCATCAGATTTGAGCCTAATAGCACTAACAACGATTCTTTTGTAGCTGCGACTAATGGTAATACAAAACATGGAAATTATAGAAACAATTCATCTACTCCTATGCTGATAAATGACGATTTTGACGAAAGGACAAAATACGTAAGTTTAACCTTGTAGTGAGTGCAAAATGTTTTTAAAAATATCATTCACTTTACAACTTAGTCATCTCCAACAAAGTCTCAACGCAAGCCAGACAAAAAACGATCAAGGATGTAAGTGAATCAACAGAATCAATGAATAAGTACCCGATATTTATTCTACTATTCGTTTCAAAAAAGAATGAAGAAGGATATTTCTTGAATAACTTTTGATAGAAACAAAATAGAGACAGTCGATTTTCATTATTCAATATTTAAGAGCGGGTCGCGTGGCTCTATGGAAAAAACCCAGCAACATCCCTTTGAGAACGTTGACTTTTGATGAACTTTTGGAAATCAGATTGATATTCCGAAAATTGTCACACCAATATCTTCTGTTTCTTTCATGGATAGATAGTCCAAAAGTGCTCTCTTCGAAACAGGAAAGAAGCGATCTCTCTATTTTTTGTAGTTTAGACATGGTATGGATTTCTAGGGAGCCCTGTGATTCGTATTTATTTAGTTAAATAAATACGAATCACATAAAACATAAACTCGATTATCGACTATAACGAACATCGTGGTGATGTTTTTTTGTCGAGATAATCCAAAAACTCAGCACTAACCTTTATTAGGTGGAACGATCCGGTTTAGACTATTTGCACAGAAAATTAACAAATTCATAACTCTGTCAAAACTGATTCAGAATATCAAGATAAACTCTGTTTTATCTGTGCAATACCTTGCAATTAACAAAGCCTCTCACAATGGAAAATTCTTAGATTTGAAGAGATTTTCTAAAGATAATCTTAAATGAAAAAATGATTTGTATTAATGTTCAATCCAAAATCAGATAATGGAGAGAAAAGAGAGTTTATCTGCTGTTCTGGAGTGGCCTGGATTGATTGTGACGGAGTTCTGAATTTGTTAATTTTCCGTGAAAATAGTCAAAACTGGGCCATTTCACCTAATAATATTTAGTGCTAGATTTTTGGATTTTCATCGGAAAACAAATATCACCACTAGGTTCACTATAGTCGATAATCTCTGTTTATACTGATCGTCGGGACTACCATACCTATGTAAAATGAGTTATATGTAAAATTTTAAGCAAAATTTATTTTTGCGATATTTATACATGGTTGGAGAGCTCGTCGAGCTGAATGAGAATATGTGTTTTAACGTTTCGAAAAAACATTTTGAAGGTAAAAGTTTCAAAAAACTGAAATTTTTAAAACCCGAAAAACGGCCTAATGTTAATAAACGAGAAAACTTTAAACACACCGAGAATGATCCGCTAAGCTCACTTCACTATCATGACCGGCATCCGTTAAAAACGTTTCCCGCAAAAGAAAAGCTGAGGCGGATGTTCCTCAACAAATAATTTTAACGAATCCATGTTCCCACCTATCCCCTCTATATTATTGCACATAACAGTCCACTGCTCTTTCCGGTTAAAAAGCGGAGTAAGGAGAGGAAAAATACGAGGAGAATAGTCTAATTCTCATATGATTTCGATTACTTAATTTCGTTTACTTGTAATGAGTTCAATTCCAGGATCGTTCGGATGAAGTTTGCCTTTTCGTAAAAAATATCCAAAATCGATATTGAATGTGTCAGTTGTTTGATGATCTTTAAACATTCTTGCTAGTAAATCATTGTAGCTTATTTTATTTATTATCGGTTTGTCAAATGTTGATGGAGCGGTTATCAGATGAACACATTTTATCCTTTGATATTTTTTGCTGTATAGTAGATGTTAAATGTTTCATTTTGTTCAACGTTGATTCCACTGTTTCGGTTTTCCACGACAAATTTTTTGTTCTAATAAACAATATGACCGTATCGGCTGTTCGTAACAAATATTTTTATTGGTTATATTCAATCAATTCCGTAAGAAATTCACATCAACGGCGAGGTATTGTTCGTATAATTTTTGGATTGAAAAGACTGGTAGGTTGAACGACTCAAATATGAATATTCTCGATAATCACATTTGTTGACTTCGATATATTTTTCTGAGAATGTTGTTATTGTTGACAAAATTATTTGTCTTGTGATTTTGTGGTGAAGAAGAATTCACATGTGTTGTTGGTTCCTGTGGAATAAATGGTTTCGTGGATGGAGATAGTAATGAAGAACGGATAAACAACAGATGACGACGAGATGTTCGTTTGTAACTGTGATGAATTTGACGAAATAAATAGTCGTGCATTTATCGGACACAGATTTCAGTTTAAATTCTAAAATCGTCACAAATTTTCAAGATAGACAGGCATGATGCTACTCGGAGATTCAGTCTTTTAGAAAGCTACATAGGGAGTTGTTTATCAAATCAGACTTATTTCTACGTATACAAATGTTTCTATCATGAGTTTAGAAGTTACTGCGAGTATATTTATCTTGCAAGATTCGTATAGAATCTTTGAGGTTACAAATGATACTCCTACTCTAGCTTTGAGAGAATGAACGTCTTTATAACACTTAATTAAGACTTTACACCTTTACTACGAAAAATCTGACGCTTAGCAATTTGTAGGAATATCATAAGCAGCAATCAAGGGAATATTTTCTAATTTCTAGTGACTTGTAAGCCTCTTTTGAAAACGTACAGTCTTTTACAATTATTTGTTTTTGTCATTTAGTATGGACTATTTTTTTTGTCACAGACCAAACGAAGATTGACGGTGGTGAACAACTTTATTCGTAGTTTTCTAACTGTTTGTATTTTGTGCTCAAAAACGCCGTTGGAAAATCAACGTTCAGTAATATTCGTTCTCTTATTCTCCTTCAAAAGAGATTATGCCTGTGTTTACTTCGTGTATGTCATAATTAGTTTTGAGAACGAACTTTATCAGTGAATAGTACACGAACTTTGATTTAGTCTGTACAATCAAAAAACATGTCTTTTATCTCTAGTTATTATTTGATATATTTACGTGTGTGCATGATTTTTTCTAACGTGTACCTATTTTATTCTGTATTGATGATGGCTACTTATTATGTGGTTCGATGAAACATCATGCATAAAAGCCTTTTCTTTGTAAAATAAGTTAGTTTTAACCATTTAGCATAAGATGACAGAAAATAAAATGTCTACTGGCCCCTATCTGTCGTACCTCTAACATCCACTGTTGGTACGATAGATTCTTTTGACTTAAATTTAATTTTGATTGTGCTCTTGCTGTCATGTGTCTGCTTACACTCCAAAGAAAAAAGTGGCGAATAATTAAACATATAAGCCGGATCCAAAACGTCACATTTTACACACTTAAAAAAAAGTGAAGTAGAACAACCACAGCATGATTTTTCATTCGATGAATGCTTAATAGCTAATAAATGAGTATCGGAATTATCAAACAAGTGAGTACAAGATCTTACGGTGATATAATTTTCAGTCAACAACATTTGAAATGCGCTAAAACTCGATTCTTGCTTCATCTAATCCATCACTTTCTCACAATAACCTGATCTGCGATCTTTTTGATATCACTTTCAACGATGATCATTGCAGTTCTGCTCTTAGAACACTGTCCGTTAAATTTAGATTGCTGCCGGTTTATTATAGTACACCATCGTTTAAAGCAATGACGGATTGCTGTTTTGCTCATCAGTTTATAGCACTCTAAATACGCTTCCCTAGTGGAACATCTTGGAACCAAGATCTTGACATCTTAGATTTTTTCGAAAAGATCTTGGCAAGATCTTTCGTACAAGATGTCAAGATATTTTTGTTCCTAAGATCTTGTCCATGATCTTGCGT